ATGTCTGCATGTCCAATACTAGCATTACCTGTGCCGCATGGGGCATCCCAAAACGGGGAGGGCTCTCCGGGCGGTTTTTATAACGAGATCTATTGATCGTGTTTTTGGCCTCCCTGGAAATAAACCGCCCCTGTCCTCACTGCCGACGGTAGTTTCGATCAACAAGATTCGTTATTCATCACAAAGCACGATCGCACCGGCAGCAGCGCCATCTGAGCCTAGCAAGGGCGTTTTTGCTCGTTCATGGGGAAGATCGGTGATGACAAACAACGATGATCATTTCACCTAATGAACTCAATTCATGGGATGCAACTCAACACAATCAAGAAATACAGATGACATGGTTTCTAAAGAATGCTTAAAAAGGCAATAATTATTGCCGTTAAAATTAGTAAAAGTAGGTGAACGAGATATAATCGAAACGCAGTAGGCAGTAGAATTCGAAAATAAATAAGATCATTTATATCTCATTCAGGCAATGACCCATTATAATTGGCAGGTATTATTGGCATATGTAAGCTCATCAACGTAACTGACGCTATCCTCAAACACTTAAACGGTCATTATGTTCTATACAATAACGTCATTCAAATGACATCATTCGATGCGATAATATTTTCATCTTTTGATTTAGACGCACCATAAAAAATGAGCAGCGGATAAGTGACAAAAACATCACTTATCGTAGCATAAGTTCCGTCAAATCGCACCATTTAAAAGTTTGATAAAAATTGCCATATAAAGCCTTTTCAACGTTTAAGTCGCATGTGATGTAACAATTTGAGACGAGGGATGTACTTTCATCTTTGTAATCTTCATAGCACCAATAAACCTCCACAGCGTCATGCAGTCATGGTCAAGATTCCTATAGATAGTCAGGGTTACAGTGCGTGTCCACTCTCTGTTCTGCTGGCTCTGGTTTCAGGGCATTGCCGTATGCCGAGGTAGTGGAATGTACCACCGACCCCCAAATCGACATCCACAGACCTAGTAGCAGATGAGTGCCGCGACATGACGTTTTAATTCACATCTGTATTTTGAATCTGGCTTTTGAATTTGGCTTACGGCTTTCGCGTGGGTCCGATACCTGAGGATAAAGGGAAAGTGAATAATTCCTCTCCGTCCCAGGGAACCGATGGCAAGTCGGCCATCTCCATGCCGTCCCAGGCGGCATTCCTCTGGAGTCTAACCAAAGGCCGTATATAGGGTCTAACCGCCCTCGTCAGCGCCCAGGGGAGGATACTCGTGAGTAATTCGTAGTTAACGAACAGGGCCCTGGGGAGGGCTAAGTGGTCACTATTTTTAGCCGGAATGTGATTTTAATCACCGACCTTTGCGGTCAAGCGAATTACGTTTGATCGATGGGACTCGCTCGGGCTCCTTTGGTAGACAGCTAATTTATTGGTCGGCTAGACCTCGGTGAAACTATGGATAAGTGGGCAGTATTCATGGCTGGATTTATTTCGTTGGGTCGCGAGAGTGCTGCTTCGACAGCTACATACTATGAGCAACTTGGGCATATCCGTAATCAATGAGACGTTTCGACCAGCGTCTTTTCTTAATTGGTACACTTAACACGGGGATAATTTGAACGGTTCGGACACGGGACAACTCTAGCTGCACGGTTTTAAACCCCTAATTATCTCATAAAGCGAGGTTTAAACTCGTCCGACCGTGATATCAACAATGCTTTTTGTCCGGCTTCAGCCCAAATTGTCCGACTATCACGACTGTTGGATTCATTCAACTTTTCCCTGAACAATTGAGTGAGCCGGAGTTAACCAGCCGGGACTTGGAACAACCAGACTTTGTATAAAATTATACGTCCTTTAAATTTCAATATTCAGTTAACCCATTTCCCAGCCCCCGTATACCACTTTCGACAGACAGTGGGCAGTGGTACCCCGGTCGCCCCCGTGCACCCAGTCCAGCGCCGTCCGTCGCCGCTCCACTCCAGGCGCTCAGCTGGCGGTCGGCAGATCAGCTGACTGGTCAGCTGATCGCCGGCCCGAGCCGACCGATCGCGGCACGATCGGTGATCTCTGAGGTCGATAAGTCCGGCACCGGGCCCCGGTTACCCCGCTGGTAGCTACGGCCTACGGGGATCTTCAGTGAGATGGAAGGGGAAATATCAGGGTGCGAAGAAAGACCGGGAGCGTGCGCTGAGGCTCACTTGGTCAGACAAGGTATAAATGGAGGACCATGCATTCAAAGGCCGCCCACCCTAAAAGCCCCAGGTCGAACGTGACATTATATCCAGTCAAACACGTGGCATTAAATTCATTCTCTTTTTAACGATTTGGGACTTCGTGTACCAAATGAGGTCTAGTCCGTAGAGGTGCCGACTAAAATAATTAAGTTACATACATGATACAAATTATTTGCTTCATGGGCAGGGCTGCGGAGCCGGAGTCGGAGTCGGAGTCGGAGTCGGAGTCGATTTTGGAAACCGGAGCCGGAGTCGGAGTCGGAGTCACCGACAAATCCATCGACTCCGCAGACCTGGGAGGGCTGCGGAGCCGGGAGTCGGAGTTGGAGTCGGTCGGAGTCGACAGTTCTGCCCGGAGTCGGAGTCGGAGTCGGAGTTGGTTTTTGTAAGCCGGAGTCGGAGTCGGAGTCGGAGTCACTGGAAATCCATCGACTCCGCAGCCCTGTTCATGGGCATGGGGCGATGCAAATTATAGCAGGCCTACGATACCACACGTATGCACTACGAAGTATGCATGCCTGCAAGTCTGCATGACTACCCCTACCAGGACCCACAGCGAGATGAAGGTTCACTCACCAGTCCGCCGCCGACGATGGCCACCTTCTTCTCGCCGCTGGCCATGATGAGGTCGCCGGAGACGTCGCCGCCCATCATGTCGCCCTCCTCGGTGATCCTGCTGACTTCAGCCGACTTCTGCGGACCCATGGTGACCTCTTGGAATCTTCAGCTAGCAGCTACAAGCCTCGGCTGACCTCTGGCGACTGCGTCGGTTTGCTCCCGTCGATCGAGTGCCGCCACCGAGCTGCGACTGAGAGGATCCCGCGTCGGCGCCGCAAAGAAGACACCGGTCGGTCGCCGCCGGCGACGGAGCCGGGGACAACGCCAGAGACATCTGTCGACAGCGAGGAGAAGCACGGGCGCCGGGACACCGCGGTCAAATGGCGGAGGAAAGGTCGGATCGGGCACGGGAGGGATGCGTGTGCATGGGGTATTACATTTGTACGATACTATAAAATGAATTTGTTACATCCAAATACGCAAAAGATTTTATCGAGCATCCATCGAGCATCCAGATGATGAACGAGCACTCAGCCTTATGACAAAATTGAAAGAATTTGCTGGTTCAGAGCTCAACTTCACCTGACGAGCTCCGGCTCCGCCAAGTTTCCTCAACTCAGTTGAACGGAGTCTGCTCATACACAGTTAATCTGTCAACATTTTGAATGGACAGTGTTCTAAGACGACACATGAACAGGAACACCATGCAGGCAGCTGCTCGCGTTTCCCTGTGGGCTGAAACGGCTCCAAACCTATCTGCCGACCAACTATAGAAGCAGCTATTCTGCTTGCGATTTCACCAGGAATGCCTCTCTTTTCGTACCCGGGTCCCGTTGAAAAGTAGCCCGCTCGACCTGCCCTGGCGTGCACCGATCGATGGCAGCCGGTGCGGTTATGTAACTGCGTAGGTAGTAGCTCCGGTGTATGTATAGGGCCTTGGTGGCTCCAATGTAAACTGTGGCGGCGTGGTTTGGCCAGCGGCGGCAGACACCCATCATAGAAGGCGCGTCCGACCACACCCCCGCTGACGTAATCGAGGGCGCGCCACGTGCGCCCACCTCACAACCCGCCGGCAGTAATGCGGGCCGCGTTCAGGAGTCCCAATCTATGTCGGAAGCATCCACAGACGAGTGAAACTACAGAGCTGTCGGCTGTCCCGTAACCTGAACAACATTACAATTTACATGTACTGGACTTTCAAATAAATGTGCAAATTAGTCGAATTTTTAAAGATGAGTATCGCACACTAAGCAAATAAATCCCGGAAGTTCACCTCAATAGGCTAGCTGTCTAAGCAGACGTAACCCCGTCAGTCCCGCAACGTGCTCCTATGCCCGCCCAGGCTGTGCAATGCGAGAGTTGAGTCAAGACAGGCTGACCCCACTGCTAACATGGGAATATGTGATGACGCTCGCGGGATAAATAGCGATAGATTTTTATCGCCATGTGAACCTGTCCTCTTCGGTTTGCTGCTCTAACCCTTTTGCGCTCGACAAATGATGCTTTCTCTTACAGCCGTTCCGAAGAAGGATAATTTCCCGGGAATCGGCACCAGCCACGACACTGGAGAAGAATATCGGTTTTCGATATTCAGCAAAAAAGTTCGTAGCATAAGCGAATCCAGGAGCAAGGAGCACTTTAGTCGCTATGAAATGTCCAACTGATACGCCAGCATTCCTAATTCTGCACACAGAAACTTGGGACTTCACCAAATTTATCGAATATTGAAGATACGCAGCGGCATCGGCTCGGGATTTAACCGAATTCGACGAACATTTCAGATAAGCAGCGGCGTTGCATCACAGCCAAACAGCCTCTCTGGGCGGATCATCGGTCAGTCTCGCATAATTTATAAGACCAGTGGGCCTCAGTATGATACTGCTGAGACGAGCGACAGACGGTCCCGTCCAAATACAAACCGGATCACTCTGTTTAGCGGGCCCTGTCGACACAACTGCGCAGGCTTATTACGACGCACTAGGTGGAGTAAATTCTTCACATCCAGCGGTGTGTAGATAAGGAGAAACAAACGGGCGTCGGGTTGCCACGGGATACTGATGGAGTGACACAGGTCACGATGATTCAAACTTGCTTGTCGTGAAAATGATGCGAGATGTTGACGGGTTTAAATGAAGCATTGAGCTCCCCATTTCCAAAGTTTCACGTTCGTTACCACATGCTCTGTACCCTAATTCGTTGACTCTCACAGCCTCTCACAGCAAAAACACTCGTCTCGCACGCATTTCAAATTCAGATTCGACCTCCGAACACTCAATGAACACTCAAGTACCAAAACACGCACACATGATATTCCAGGCCGCCCGTTCCGCACCCTCTTCCCAAAGGCTGGGGAGATGGCGGCGCGCGACCCACGCTAGCATGCAGGCAGACGAACAGACGGACAGACAGACAGACAGACAGAGAGGGACAGATAATCAAACACCCAACACCAATATGCCCGCCTGCATAGGACACCCCGGTAGACGCTTAAATACAAAAAAGTTTGTACTGGACAGAGTTGACTCACACATACAGGAATGGAGAGTGAAGGGAGGGGACGGGGAGAGAGGGAGGGAGAACCGAGACAGAGCGGCAGATAATCCAACAAATGAAGGATGAACTCAACAACCTGGACGGTCGGCAGAGCGGCTCGGACTGGAAAAACAACTCAGCGGGAACGAGCCATAGCTGACAGAGTGTAACGTATCACCTCCGACCGAGTGGCGAGCGGGGCGGCGAGGGAGAGGCGGGGGGCCGCGCACTGCTCGCGCAGCCATCACACTCGACAGCCCGCCGCCGGAGCGGCTGAATGCATAGGCGGGTACACACGGGGGGCCAGCTCCTGGCCGGGCCCTAACCCGGGCGGCGCTGAGCACCACCGGTCCCCCGCACTGCATAGAAGAGCGCCTAGAGGGGGGCCCAGCGGCCCGGGAGCCTCTCCCAGTTACCCGCTCGCCAGCCGGGAATCTAACAAACGCGCTGGATGCGGCATACACACCGGCCGCAGCGCTAAATAATAAAACAGAAGCTGGCCGCCAGACACGACGGCCGAACCATGGCCAGACACCAGCGGTCAGGTGCACTAAAACAAGATAAACAATTGCCGTCCAGAAACTCAACAGACTCGCTAAAGATTCGGGAGTCGAAAAACAAAACAGAACGGGGCGCCGTCCGAGCCTGAGTGCTGATCTGTCAGAGGGGAGGCGGGGCGCGCGGTGCCGCGGCCGCCACTTAGGGTACGTGGCGACACCGGGAGATAGAAGGCTGGGCGCCGGCCGGGGGCGCCGTCCGCGCTGCGGTTGACCACTGACTGGGGCGCCGGGCGCCGGCCGCTGACCACCGACTTGGTCCCAGAGGCGCGAGGGTTCCAGGGGGCGCCAGGCACCGACCAACTCGCCACCGCCACGTCCACTCCGCGCCCGCCGAAAAAATGACTCGCACTCGCCGTCACTCGCGCTCCAAAAATGACTCATCAGCTGGCCGTGAGACGCGCCAGCGTAAACCGACATACCACTCGCTCATCACGCACACCGGTCGGTATGAAATGACTATGCTACTCCGACGGATTGCCGCTCCGCCTCGTCGCGAGGAGGGGGCGCCATGGCCGCCGATCGCGGCACATCGGTCTACCCTGAACCTGCCGCGCGCCTCACTCAGTGCGGTCGGCCCTGCGGCCAAGGCGACGCCGTTACGATGCCTGCACGCGCTCGCCACTCAGACATCGGAGCAGGCATCCGCTGGCGTACCGGCGCTCCCGGTCGCGCGTGACACAGACAACCACAAACACACAGCGTACAAATGGATCACACACCCGCGCGCGCACTGTGACAACTATGGGTCCCGCCCACCTGACAAGATACAAATGCCCAGTCGGATCCATGGAACAACTAAAAACGCAGCACTGTAAAACGTATACGACTATGGAATATACAAAACAAGATTTGGCTAGAAACAATCCATAATGCCAGAGTGTGTTACTAAAAGATCTTAGAAAAGGGAAGAGCTATTGAAGCGCCGTGGCTTCGGCAGCCCTGCCGGCCGCGTCGCTCCCTCCCTCTCCCTCTCTCCCGCTCCCCACTCTCTCTTCACGTAGCTGTACTCCATCACAGAAGTGGCACTGGACTGGGTCCACAGAGCGGTGAGAGAAGCTCCCACATGCCGCCGGCTCCCGCGGCCGATCGGGGCACGCCAATGTCACCACAGGTCACTGGAGGTCACACAGCGCGACCTGGCACCACCCCGCGGCCCACGGCAGACAGCAGCGCCGAGCGCCGGGCCCGCGAGTTTCCGCCGGCCGCCGCCAGGGGCGCCACTATCGCGCCTGCGACTGCAGCATCTCAATGAACAGTTTGTCCATGTGGATCTTGCCGTCCTGGCGCGTGTTGATCCAGAACTGTTTGACCACCGGGTCGACCTGTCTCAGCACGGGCAGACAGAGCAGCAGCTGCTGAGTGTGGCTGGCAGCGCCGCTGGCGGGCCTGCAGACAAGGGTAAAAGAGAACATTAACAAAAGATGACGATACAGACGGGCCTAGAAAACTAACCGACGTTTTAGCTAGTCGATCTATGATAGTCATCAAAAGGACACACTAAATTTGGCACACATTAGACGCTTTCGTCATTTGACGAGCCCGACAAAAACCACCTTCAGGCTTCGACGATCAAACCCACAGAGCCACCCTGCTCTTCCCGGAACCCTCCCATCCACCGTCTCTCCTCTCGCCCTCCCACGCTCTCTGCTCTCCCCCGCTCTCACCTGATGGCGGCCACACAGTCGGCCAGGCTCTGCATCAGGGTATCGCGCATGCTGCGGACCAGCGGCGCGTTCTCCACGGCAATGTCGCAGTTGACCAGCACCAGCGCCCGCAGCAGCACGTACTCTTGTTCGGTGATGGAGAGCGGCTGCAGACGCTCCACCACGCGCAGGTACTGTGGAGGAGACAAAGGGAGAGTCAGAGCGCAGGTACTGTGGAGAGAGGGGGAGTCAGACAGCGGCTGCAGACGCTCCACCACGCGCAGGTACTGTGGATTGGAGGGGGGGGGGGAGAGTCAGCGGCTGTAGACGCTCCACCACGCGCAGGTAGTGTGTGTGAGGGGAAGGAGACACAGGGAGGGAGAGTCAGACAGCAACAGGAAGAATGTCACATCACACAATCAATGGAAGTCGCACAAGGAAGCCACACATTGAAATACACATTACGCGATTCCATCCCAGGGACCAATCACACAAACATAAGACCTCGGTGTATTGAGACCCCTTGGAAAACGCAGGCATGATCGGCCCCCGAGTCCCTTGGCCTTCAAACACCTCAAACACTCGGTCACAAGTGCCACCAACCATGCGACTCAAAACAACAAACCCAAACACCTAGACGACTTTTTTAACATTTCCTGTGGAACACCAGGGCAGACGAAACCCGTCGTCATGAAAAAAACGGTTCTTTCGTCAGCTTGCGATGCGCGTGTTAGGTAACAGATATCGGTGCACCTTCGCCACAGACGTGGGTCCAATTCACCGCCATTGATAAACACGGCGCAGGCCACGGCTTATGAACGACAAAATGTACACATCGAGGCGGCGCGGTCATCGCTTAATTGGAAGATGGTTTCAGATTTACCCATACATGTGGATTGTTAATTTAAAAATAGCTTCTGTATGGTAATTGCAATCGGCGTTCTCCGAGAGGTGCTAAATAGGCAAAGACAGCGTACGGCAGGTGCCAGGTTCAAAAAATTTGAAAGATACCGTAAACGGGGGTGACTTTGCCATGTTTTCAACTTTAGACGCTTGTATTCTTTACACTTCTTAACTTGTTGGGATGACTCTATGTTCAAAACACGGATGAAGATTAGCTCTTTTGGTTTTGCTACTATCGTATTTATATCTTGCCTAAAAATACAATTTTTTTAAGAAAATTAGTCGTGGCAAAGTTAAACTGAAAAAGGGGTGACTTTGCCACTATGTCAAAAAATGTTTTTTTTTAACGCTTGCAAATAATTTCTAAGCATTTTTGTTCCATTGTATGGGGGCGGGCAACCATCTTTAATTGTTTAATAGGAAACAAATGAAGCAATTCAAAGTTTTTTGCTCTTAAATGATGTACAAAAAAGGAGAGATACATTACTTTTATAATACAATATATTTGTTGAAAATTAATGACATTGATAGAAAATAGAAACTGAAAAATGGTTCAGAATAGATAAATAAGCAAAAATATGATTGTATCGGTACTCTAGGACCGTGCCTCATTCCTCCAGCGGCATTGAGAGGAACAGAAAGAAGACGTTCTTGCGGCAACTTACCGGCACCCTTATTATCAGCGTTTTGATCTATAAAATGATACCGATTTCTTCAGCTAGTCTTACTGGCAAACTCAGGAGTTGTAGATGATCATGACTGTGCTGAAAAGTTGGGCCCAGCTTCATCCATTTTTTGAGTTTGGTAATTTTTGCCTTTCTATACTCCCACTGTGCATTCCTGTGCTAATTTTAAACGTATAAACTCTCACTTTTTTAAAAACCAGTTTGGAGGTCAAAATGATGCTACATTGAAAATTAGTTTGAACTGCATTGGATAAGTATTCGATTTTTGCATAAATAACATGGTGGCAAAGTCACCCCATGTGGCCTGCTATTCACTTGGAAAAATCGCCACCAAAAATGTTAGCTAAATAAAGTGACAAATGCCAGTTTTGTTGGATATGCTAACTTATCAGCCTTGTCATGATCAACCATACCAAGCTTCAGCATCGCAGGTGGTCTAAGACATGGTTAGATAATAAAAAGTTTGGAACTCTTCAAATTTGACCATTTCAATGACTCCAATAAAATGGAGCCCAGTTAGGTTTTTAGTGGTAACTTACCTATCAGTGTTAGTTATATTGGGAGGCCCATCAAATACCTTTCGTTTGTGCATAAAACATCACCACATTCCTCGTAAAATATCATGGGAGATCTCCCTAAAGCATTTTTCGAGAAGCATGGCAAAGTCACCCGGCGAGGCAAAGTCACCCCCGTTTACGGTACTCGTATTTTCAATATGAACTTTCTCACAGTCAATATCAAGGCCCTCTAACCGTCAATATGCATATCTTTCTAGTTGAGGTTTATTTGCCATTGGGTCTACAGTGCAGGAATATAGAGGATTCTTCATGGCTCCGAGTGGAAGATAAGGATATCTTTTATCGCCCGCACCATATAAACAAATACCACACATTTTCAGTTCGCCCCACAGCACGAAGGAAAAATCCGTCCCGGAAAATTTCAATCTTTTTGTGGCCCCTTGGCGCGGACTTAAATACCAGCATAGTCACCAGTAACATCAGTGAAACTCTGGCACTACCGCTGGCAGTTCGATACCATTACACGACAGCCCGATAAATCTACAACGCCAATTCAATTTCTACCGCTGTTTGCCCGAAAGACCATCACCATCATGCATTAAAATAATGCAGATTCAGAAATAAGAGGTGAAGGACGGCGCAAAGCTTTTAGTATTCGATATCACAATGGGCACGCGTATTGAGACAGAGGGACCGACGCCGCCCTGCCGACAAACTGACCGCCGCCCGTCATCAAACGACCCGAGTTGTTCCGAGCCATCGTGGCGGCCCGACCGACGCGACGGGGGCGGGTCGGCAGTACGCTCCTTATCCGGACGACTGTCCCCACCCAGCCGGCCCGGTCGCGGTGGGTCAGGTCGGGGCGCGCCGGGGTACAGCGGACCGGTGACGGGCCACACTGGGTGCCCTCGGGGGCCCCCTCGTCACATATAAGACCGGCTCGCGGGGCGCGCGGCCCCACTGGACCGTCCAGACAGGACCAGGAGTGTGTGTGCTGTCTGAGATAACGGACAGGGAGCCTGGCTGAGGTGGAACGAGAAGTGATTAAAAGGAGATCAGTTATGAAGGTAGGCAACTCTTTCAATCTACGATGAGTGCCAAAGTGGCCTTCATGTAATTTCGTGTTGTTGGCATATGTGGTACTTGGTAATATCGCTTTTGTAAATATATTTTCAGATTGTTCTTTCAAGTCCATTTTCTATTTATGCATCTAACATTTATGCATTAAAAAACAACAACAACAATATGTGACGTCTTATATGGAGCAGCTACCTCGATGTTACGTGACCTGAGACCCGCCTCTCCCCGGCTGATGCCCCCAGGTCACTGGTCCACTGCTGGTGGCAGCGCTGTTGGCCGTCAGCGCCGCCGCACCGAGCCCCCAGCTCCGTCTGCGTCAGCCCAAACCGCGTCTCAGCCTACCACCGGAGCCACACGACGACTCAGCGCCAGAACCTCGCCTCGACCTGGCACCCAAGCCACAGCTGAATCGAGCGTCCCGGCCCCGCCTCGAGCCGCGCGCGGAGCCCCGTCACGGCTGGGGCACCTACTTCCCGGTGGCGCAATATGAGCTGGCCCCTCCGCGCCTGGCCGAGCTGCCGTCATCGCGGCCCGTGCGCCGCTACAGAGCCGGCAGCGTCCACGACCGGCACGCGGCCGCCGGAGGTCCGCACGGGGTGATCTCAGCCATACTGGACGAGTCGTTCCGACCGCCGTCCAGCATCCTCTTCAACGGCGAGAACTGGCAGTCGTCAGCGGCGGGCGCGGCAGACACATTGTTCAGGACCAGGGCAGATGTCGTCACCGGAGGGGAGACAGAAGAGGCTGGAGGCTCATCCCAGGCTTCTAGAGTTGTGGTTGATGAGGGTAGTGAGATAGCAGAAGTCTCCCAGACGTCGTCGACTAGTGAATTGGACGTGAACATTTCGTCCGAAGCGTCTGGATCAGTAGTCAGCGAAGGCGATGCCTCTTCGGAGTCGACTGAGTCAGCATCTGCATCAAGCAGCACAGGAGCAGACATCGTGTCGGAGGTATCGTCATCTTCTTCATCTGCTTCAGATGAATCGTCAGCATCCTCTTCAGCAAGTGGTACGGGAACCAACATCTCCTCGGAAGCCTCAGGATCTGTGGGAGGTGACGAAGGTGCTTCTTCAGAATCCTCCTCCGCATCATCCTCATCCTCCTCCGCATCATCCTCAGCCTCTTCAGAGAGCAGCCAGTCTTCCTCCTCTTCAGGCGATAGTGAGTCCTCTTCTTCAGGCGACAGTGGGTCCTCTTCTTCGGGCGACAGTGAGTCCTCATCCTCGGAAAGCAGCGAGTCCTCCTCGTCTTCCGACGCCTCCAGTTCAGGTTCTTCAGCCGACGATGAATCCTCATCATCCACCGAAGAAAGTGACACCTCCGCCGAAGAGAGCTACGAAGACACGCTCCCATACTGGAACGACCCCACTGTGCTGGACCTCGGATACCTCCCCGTGCCTCAGTCGGGCTATGGCCGCAAGCTGAAGCCAAAAGTGCAACCTGACTATCAACAGGAGGAACCGGAGAGCGTGGAGACGAATCAAGGAGAAGCCGATGCAGGCCAGGAGGAGATAGCAGAGGCAAGCGCCAGTCAAGAGGAAGACAGTGGCGATACCACTTCAGCCGAAGCAGGCGGTGCTGTCGAAGAGAGTGATGAGGGTTACGCCGATTCAGGAGCAAGTTTGTCTCCCACCTCCGAGGCGGAGGTCAACGTTTCATCTGAAGCATCAGGTTCTGCAGAAACCAGCGGAGAAGCGGAAACGGAGTCATCGGATTCGGAAACGATTTCGTCAACTTCGGAAACCGATGTGAATATTTCGTCCGAGGCGTCGGGTTCCGTTGAAGGGGAAAATGAAACTTCAGAATCAATCGACTCGGCATCGGCTTCAATTTCTTCAGAGGGCGAAGTCGGTGTCTCATCTGAAAGCTCTTTGACCACCCAAGAAGACAACACCAGCTCTCAAGACACAGCTTCTTCCTCAGACGGTGACGTGGACATAACATCCGAAGCTTCGGGAGCCACCGATAGCAGCGAGGACATCACATCCGACTCGACATCCGTTTACA